ATGCCCCCCAACCTCTCCAGAACAAGAGACTCAGGGCTGGCACAGAACTCAAAAGCACTTGCTCCCCTTCCAAAGTGTTTCAATTAAAGACGCCTTTTTTTTTTTCTTTTTAGGAAATAACAAGTGCAAATTATTTCTTCCTCCTCTTCCCCCACCAATATCCTGTGTGCGTTTTTTTAATAAAAAAAATTGCTAGGATGGAAGCATTATTTTGGGGAGAGGGAGGGAGAAAAGCAGAACAACAATTTCCCAACCATGTCAGAAAGAAAAAGAGCTCCTCCAACCCCCTGCGAGCTCCTCACCGGGCAGCTGGATGTTTGCTCTCGAGTGACGCTCGCCCCGGGCCCGTGGCCAGCAGGAAGGCGCAGCTGGATGCTGAACCCTCAAGCAGAGCCACAGAAATTCTGCTGGTAACTCCTCTCTCGGTCTCTCGCAGGGCTGCAGTCCCCGCTCGCCCGTAGAGGCTCGGTTGTGGAATGTCCCCACAAACAGGATGGGAGGCGCCACTGGATTTGTCCGCACATCCCTGGCTGTCGTCACCTTTCTGGGTAAGAGCAGTGTCCCCCAGCCCAGGGGTTTCCAACAGGGGAGCCAGGGGAGGCTGTCGGAGGTGCCAAGCGGGACGCCGCGGGCAGCCCTCTGCGCTCTGCAGCTCCAGCGATGCCCAAGCCCGGTTGTCCCGGGTGGTTTATGCAGCCAGAGGACATGTCGGTGCTGTATCACCTGTGAGAGGATGGGAACATTTGACACACAAGTCTCCTCCTTTCTAAATCCAAATTTAAGCGAAATGCAGGAGTTGCATCAGGCAAAGCCTTGGCAGGACCAGTGCTTCTCTGCTGTCCTGGCCTTGCACAAGGAGGAATTTCCTCCTGCTGACAGGACTCGCTCAGGGAGAAGCCCCTTTGCCTCCTGGTTTTCCCAGGGATGCCTTTTTGGCCATATCCTGACTGCAAAGATTCCCCCATTCATCAGGGACCATTTCTGGATCTCCGGGAGTCTCAGGCAGCACTCTGAAGGTCCCTTTTCAGCAGGGAGACATTTCATTTCAGACAACTGAGAATTAGATAATGTCTTCAAGCTAATTCATCATCCCAGGCAGAGATTGCTCGCCTGTCCTTATAAATATCTAATTACCTTTTAATGTTCTGCGGATCCCCGAGGAGGCAGAGGTAGGGGTGGCTGCCCTAGATTGGGAGGCAATTAGCCTGTTTGGAAATTGGTCTGACCCAAATCTGGCAGAGGCAGCAAGATGGAGTTGGGGCTCTCCCATTAACCAGCTGAGTTCATGCAACTTGCTCCCCGTCCAAGCTGAGCACAGACACACACACAAAAATACTGACTGTAAAGCCTGCAAGGGTTATTTTCTCTTGACCTCTGGCTGATGATGCAATGGATCTCAGGAGCCAGCTGGGACAGAGAGAAATCCTCACTGGGAGCACAATTGAGAGACCAGGGACAAAATAATGCAGCTATAGATGGGGTTCAAGGAGAACAGTCCAGAGTGGGTGAAAACTCAAAGCCTCGAGGTCTGAGCTGTCAGCTCCAGCCTTGGGAAGCCGCGCTGGCAATGTCATCCCTCCTTTGGCCATATCACCCCAAATCCTTTTGACTTCCCAGCAATATGTGAGGGTTTAAAGCTCACGAAGCACACGGAGACAACCCTCTGACTGTCAGCAAAGCAAAATTCTCTCTGGCCTTTCTCCATTCAGTAAAAGCCAGAGAAAATCTTGAAAACTAAGGCTGGCCAAAGCACCATCCCTTTGTTCCTGAGAAAGCTGCTCGTTAAAAATAACCCTCTGTTCCTTGGAGAGCGGCTTTTTAAAAATAACCACTTTGATTTTTGGGCACATGTGTGCGCGTTCAGTTTTCCTATAAAACCAATTAATTGCCCAGCTCCCTCATGTGCCAAGGCTTCAGGCTGTGGTCAGTGCTCCGGAGCTACGGCTGTGCTGCCCGGGCTCAATAAAAGGATCACTGCTGCTGTCCTCAGAAACTGGAATATATCTTGGAAAACGTGCAGCTGAAGACGTTGATCATCTCTTGGTCTCCGAAGCTCGTGCAGGGCTCAGCACAAAGGGAAAATGCTCGGCCTCCTCAACACCTGGGCTTTGCACAGCATATTGCAAATATTTCAGCATATTCCAAATATTCCACAGCATATTGCAAATATTTCAGCATATTCCAAATATTCCACAGCATATTCCAAATATTTTTAAGCATATTCCAAATACTATTGCTAATAACACAAGACCAAGCTGCTGCAGCAAGCAGGCACTGGCAGTCACCCCCTCCCTGCAGCGGCAAAGGAGTTAAGGTTTGTGTTTTGTCTGTTCCAGCAATATCTGATATAAAGTTTGCGATTTTTTTTTTTATACTCACAGAGCCTGCTGTGGCCTTGGTGGTGTTATTTCCCGATACGGTGTTTTTCTCTCGCAAACAGCAGCACAAGTCACTCTTGAAGTGCTGCGTGAAATCTTCAAGCGTTTCTGCAGCTGTTTTTTCCCAAATCTTAATTTTCAGATGTTCCACTTTCTCCTCTCCCTATTTATTTTGGTGTTAACCTTTATTTTTTTCCTAATAATCAGTGTTATCCTAGGGAGGTTTAGCAGCATGTTTACTGTCATTTCTGCTCTCCTAGCTGGATTTTAACACGGGAAGTAGGGCTGCACAAGGCATGCCCATTTCTGAGCACTGCTTCTTGCAAATCTGGCTTGCAGACCTTTATTTTGTGTCTATCTTCTCCCCACCATCCAAATGACAGAGCCCAGGGAAGGTATCTGCTCTGGCAATATTAAAAACAAGCGCTCTGGGGCGACAGAAGGAGCTACCCCAGACGATCAGTCTCGGAGGTACTGAGATTTACCGCCCTGCTTTGCTCTCAGTTCTCAGTTCTAACCATATCCTGATCTTGTAACTGGTTAATTATTGCTTTAATCTAACTGTTGTTTTGCTTAGTGAGTGAGATCCAGGCATTTCACCCCCAACCAGACACCTTGGAACTGGAGATAAAAACTCATCCAAACTTCTGGCATCGATTGCATTTGAGAAAATCAATGCCTGACAGTTGCAGTCCATAACCTTGGCAGAGAAAAAGGGACAGCAGCGGAGAGCGACGGGGTGCAGGTTCTGGGTGGAACGAGAAGGGGCGATTAGCACAGTTTGGCTTGATTGGGAAACAGCACTCCATAAGAAAAGGCATGCATGCAAGAGTTAATAATATATATTTTATTTGTTAAATAAATAGAAATTATTTACCCATTAATCTCGAAGTATAAAATTGTTAAACCTCAAGCTATTCACTACCATCTATCAGAACACAATTAATACGCTGCTTTCTTATTAACTCATGATTATTTTACCTGCTGGTGAGCAGAGTTATTTCCAGCTGAGACTCACTCAGCACAGCCGAGAGATCTCCAGCTCACACAAGCTCCCCGTTTGTGAATTTAGCTATTCTAGAAGGAAAATGGCACCTAAACTGACTCAGAGGCAATTCAACCCTCAAAAAGCTGCTTTTTAATTATTCCAAAGTATTAGACCCAGACCCCTGCGTGGCACCAGCAACCGTTGGGTCCCTGCCCCTTGCAGCAGCAGCACATCCCCGCGGCCGGAGCCAGGGGCCGGGGAATTGGCTGGT